AAATATGCGTTATTAACCAAACGTGACGTCAAAATGGCTGGATATTGGCCGAGTTTTCTTTTTTGCATTTTTATGGACCGAGACGAAGTCGAAGCGAACAAAAATGTGAAAAAAGAACTAGGCTAATATCGAGCCATCTTGACCGAGATAGCTTGGTTAATAAAGGATTTATTCTATTGCAAAATATTTTGATTTATTAAGAGTTAAGAACGACATTTTTCCTTCGAGAGCTGGGAAAGAAAGCCAACTGTGTTTGTTGCACAACAAACTCACTAGAGTCGTTTCTATTTTCTTCTTTTAACTATCTTCTGCCGCGTTTTGCCTTTTCATCGCCGAAATTTTCCAAGAGCAAGATAGGCCCCTCTTGCCTGCTCGGACAGCCAATCAGAACACAGGATTTGCTTCATCTTGTCCACGGGCGCTGCGTGCGATGTAATAAATAACCCTTAATAAATCATATTTTAACAACATGCACAAAAATTTCATTAAATTCAAAAAGTTATCCTAAATATGCCCTCAAGGGTTACCCCTAATGGGGAACATTCATTAGTACAGAAAGCAGCGAGTCTATCTGTCCTATCTCTGGGTCTCTCTACAAGGAGGAAATCCCCTGAGCGAAGATTGTAACCATTAGGAACAACTTCCGCCATGTAGAGAGACCCTAAAGGTTTAGGAAGGTCCTCATAAAACCTGATGCAGGCAAGATACTTCCGCTGACTTAGGGTAGGGAGGGCAGACAATACATACATACATACATACATGCATACATATATACATACATACATGCATGCATGCATGCATACATGCATGCATGCATACATGCATACATGCATGCATACATGCATACATGCATACATGTATGTATGTATGCATGTGTGTATGTATGTATGTATACATGCATTCATACATACATACATGCATGCATGCATGCAAACATACATATATAGATAGATAGATACATACATACATACATGCATGCATACATACATACATGCATGCATACTTTATTACCGATTACCCAAAGACGATTTTCAGAGGAAATACAATTAAGGCAAACATGAATTATACAATTAAGCTAAAAATGATATATCAGACTTAAAAGAGAGCAATGACTTAAAAAGCAGAAGTGCTAAGGTTACTTGAGAGGCGAGACCTAAGGCGGCGTTTAAACACATTAACCGAATCACAAAGTTTAAGATCGTTAGATAAGGAATTCCATAAAGTAACTGCTCTATAGAAAAAAGTCCTTTGGCCACTTGCTGTTCTAAAGCGAAGTATGTTAAGCATTTGAGAACTTCGCGTTCTACGATTTGTGACATCACATCGCCTAATGAATTGTGTAGATAAATATTCAGGAGCACATCCAGTTAGACACTTAAATGATATTAGGGCATCACGGTAGTAGAGACGCTCCTTCACTGGCAGCCAGCGTAGTTTCTTTAAATTTGGAGACACATGATCGTATTCTCTTCTTCCACTTACTGTGCGGCAGGAAAAATTCTGGACTGTCTGTAACATTTTTCAATTTTTTTGAGAATTATTACTCCAAACGCATGAGCAATAAGATAATTTACTAAAAAGGAGTGAGGTTATACTAATAATTATGGACTGTTTGTCAATAGAGTGCTTAACTCTATTGATCTGCGCTAAACGTGACATGCACGAAGAAACTGTTTCTAGAATATGATTTCCGAAAGTTAAGTTTGGATCCATAATTGCACCGAGGTCTTTAGTGGATGTTGCAGGTACGAGATCTCTCCCGAAAAGGGACAGATTAAAATCGTCATTCACTTTTGCAATGTTTTGTCTGCTTCCAAAGATCATTAGTTTCGTCTTATCTGGGTTCAAATGTAGCTGGTAGCTGGTTATTAAAGTTCCAGTTCCGTATTTTAAGCAGATCGTGATATATTTTATCTCTGGCCCCTCTCTCCTCATACAGTGCAAAGGATAACAGAAGTAGCACTGTGGAGAGCAGAACTGTGGGATTGACGGCAAGTCATTAACGTAAAAACTGAACAAAAGTGGGCCGAGTATACTTCCTTGAGGTACGCCATTTTTTACTTGCATGCGATCTGACAGAGTAGAGTTGATGCGTACAACTTGATGACGTGATGATATATAACTCCGGAACCATTGTAAAGCAGTTGTAGATGAACCGACATCCTGGAGTTTAGCCAGAAGAGTGCCGTGTTATAAGCTATCAAAGGCGTAGCTCATATCAAGGGGGACTGTTGCAGTTAATTGCTTGTCGTCAATAGCACGCAGTATTTGATCGGTTGTGTGAATCAGTGTAGTCTCGGTTGAGTGGTATTGTTTAATCCTACTTTGCTTTGATGTTAAACGCTCCTTTGAGACTAGATAGGTTGTGAATTGATTAAAGGCTGCTCTCTCACAAACCTTTGAAAACACTGCCGGAAGAGAAATGGGCCTGTTGTTATTCGGCACCTCGTGATCTCCACTTTTCAGAACTGGTGTCACCTCGGCTAGCTTCAACGCATCTGGGAATGTATTGGTGGTAAACGAGGCGTTAATGATGGACGTGAGAGAAAGCAGAGTTGTGGGAAGGCAATCTTTGATAACTTTTACCCGGAATTTTATCGATATCAAGCGCCCTGTTTGTTGCCATCGAATTAGCAGTGGCTTGTACTTGTTTGCACTCTATAGGATTAAAGATAAATTGTTCTAATAACGAAAATGATCTCGGAATGAATGGATTGTTCTTGAGGTCTAAGTTGAAATTTAACGCTAAATCTCTGATTTTCTTGACTGTATTATCGCCAACGCCTGCGAAAAATGAATTGAGTTCATTTCCCACAGTTTTTTCATCTTTACTGTAGGTTATTTGTGTCTTCGACCTATGAGGTATGCATAAACGGATTGTTTTCCAGATGGGGTTCGCGTTGTTTTTCTTGTTTTTAATCTGCTCCCTCACAAATTCTCTTTCCGCAACTCTGATTTCTTTTTCAACTTCAAGTTTAAGATTTTTATATGCAGACCAGGCATAAGGATCGTTGGTCTTTCGTGTTATTTTTCTCCAGTCTTCTCTTGCTTTCGTCAATTGCCTAATCTCATCTGTCACATAAGGGAGTGGTTTTCCACGTATTTTGATCTTTCAATCTATATGTGTGCATGTCTATCCACTATATCACAAAAGAATTCGTTAAATGCAAACAGTTTATCGTTGACATCATCAAAAACATCTAAGACTGACCAAGGGGCTTGTTCAATATCCGTGAAAAATGCCTTGGTTTGATAGTGTTTAAAGCACCTGGTAGTGATGTACACAGGCTTAGGTCGCTGTTTCTTTAGCCGGAGTATGGCATACACTAAATCGTGGTCGTTGACTGAACTCTCGATGATTTTAACGTCGCGAATTTTATTTAAGTTGGAAGTGATAATAACATCCAGTAAAGTTGCAGTAGAATCAGTAACACGATTTGGAGAGCTAACCATCTGATTTAAGCTGAACATACGACAGAAGTTCATAAGAGAAACGGATTCTGGAATGTTAGGTTTCAAAAGGTTACAATTCAGGTCCCCAATAATATATATCGGTTTGTTCAATAACGAAGCGGTGACTGAGTTTGGTGAGAGGTCAGCGTCAAAGAAATCAATTGAGAGATCAGGAGGCCGATAAACGGCACACACTAGAACTGACTTCATGTTTTTCACTTGTACCTTAAGCCATAGTTGATGAAAGCCATTTGTTGACATGTTAGAAATATCGGAGAGTAATTCAGTTTTGTAAGAATGTGACACATAAATGCAAACTTCACCACCTCTCTTCTGCCGGTCAACTTGGAAGAGATGATATCCTGGGATCTCAATATTTAGGTCGGATATAGAGTCATCAAGCCATGTTTCTTCTACGGTGAAGACATGAAACTTGTTTTCTAATATGGTTTCCTCCACAAGAATAAACTGCTCTCTCCGTTTCAGTGAGAGCGCATTGAGATTTGCTAACTTCATGGAATTTGCATTCTTACCGCCTGAATCCTTGACACTGAAATTTTGTGGTCCCGGGTTGAGCTCAATTTCATGCACAAGTTTAATTAACGGATGGAAGGTTAATGAAGAATTTGGGTACAACTTAGTTGGAGCCCTCGCTCTTTTCACCTTTGCTAGCGTTCGTATCTGAATATTTTCCAGCTCAACTCCAATATGGCGGTCTGGTGGACGCAGCACATGGCTTTGACAATAACCACAGAAACCTTCAGGAGAAGCAGTGTTGATAAAAAGCGCCAGTCAGCAATAATCCAGGGGTTTTTAGGCATAATCCAGGGTCATTTTGAAAGTAGATAAGACGAGTTGATAACATAAGCGCAGGGAGAAAACGTGGAGCTAACTGCGACGTAGCGACCATCTTGGCATCCACATCACATAACAAAGAATTCCTCAGAACCAATATCTGGAAAGATAATCTTCAATGCCCTCTTCTAAACGGCTTCAATAAGATCCGATAGACAGTCAGGCAGAGCTGCCCACACAGGTGATGCATATTTAACAATAGATATCATTCATGAACAATGTATCTACTATAGGTCAGTCTGATGGGGCTCTGACTTCTTGAGTAATCTTAAGGCATACAGCCTCTTATTAGCTCTTCTAACAATATACCCAACATGCTGATTCCACTTTAGGTCATTAGATATCTATGCCCCTAGGAGCTTATAACTTGAAACTCTTTCTATGTAATTACCTAGTATCTTAGCCGTATCTAGAGCAATAGGTTGGTATTTAAGAGTGTTGACAATCATCTCTTTGCAGTTCTTGGGATTTAAGCGCATACCTCGGCCAGTAGCATAACCCCAATGTCTTGAACAAGACAAGTAAGAGATACCTTGGGCTAAATCTGGGTATACACTCAAATACAGATTGGTGCGAGCGACATACCATTTTTTACGCTAGTATAGAGTTGTTTATTATTTTTTCTTTTCAAATAACTCAATGATGGATAGGACTTTCTCCAATTTAAAGGCGGAACATTTTTTCACACTTACTGCAGTTAAACTCGCTTTTGCATTCGCACGAGTAGGAGCCATCTGTGTTATTGCAAATTTCTCTTTTGTGACAACGGTGGGTGTTCGAGATACACTCGTCTATATCTAGAAAACACAAAGGGAAGCAATATGGGCGTATAAGTTTTAACACGAAATGAGTGACACACATTTCAATAGTTTTCATGTCCTCTAATGCAAACCAAGACCTCAAATATCAGGGTTTGAGTTCGGACAAAGATGAGTTCGGAGAGTCGTAACACCCACTTCCCTACCCCAGCCTCTCTCCTTCCTTTGGACCGTCACATGCACCCTGTATCTTAATTGCTTTCTCACTCCAGCCTTCCGCAACCATTAAAATCTGAAATGGTGGCCAGTTTTCGCTACTAAGCAGTCGCTCGCCAAAATTACGCTCGCTCTGCAGGCTGTTTAACCACCTGTCTATCAAAATCTAGCTTTTGAAAGGGTTAAAGAATAAAGTGGAACTCGGAAAGGGTTTATTTCACCGAAAACCGTCGGTTTGAGATTACAATTATCGTACACTGTAAGACTTGAGATCGCCGCAACACCGCAATGCGAGTTTTTTTTTTCTCTGCAATACTGCATGAAAAAGTTAAACACTACAACATTATTACTGGCTTGTGATACATGAAAAATGCGGCAATATGACTGATGCGAGCGACATAATACTATTTACGCTTACATTACACTGAATTATTAATTTAATTCTTCAAAATAATTCAATTATGGATAGGAATTTCTCCAATGAAAAGGCGGATCATTTTTCACACTTACTGAAATTTAACTAGGTTTTCCATTCACATAAGTAGGACCCGTCTGTGTTATTCAAAATTATCGCGATATGGATACACGATGCTTGGAGAGTACAAGAGAAGCTCTCGTTATGTTTAGGCTGATACAAACAAACAAGGATTATGATTCTACTATGTTCTATATTGGGTAAACCTTAGATGGACGAATGTCATTCATGGTTACCTGTACAGTTCTTGCCATCGCCATTAAACCCTTCTTTGCAGCTGCAGTTGAAGGAACCTTCGGTATTATTACAGTGAGCATGGACACCACAGTTGTGGGTATCGGTGGCACATTCGTTTACATCTGAAGAAACAAATGCTTTCCTTCAAAATAAATAATGACAAATGATAAAAGCATATTCAAGAATTAGTCTGATCGTTTAGCATGTGACATGCCAATTTTTACAATTTTGAAATATTACTGAAAGCTCCCACGTCAAATAATGTTTATCATTTAATTAACATAACCGACCAATTCAAAAGTAAACAAGCTGAAATAAAATTAATTAACAGACACATCATCAAGAAGGGCACGGGTCTTCTAAGGCAAAAGAGGACGTGAGACGTGCGTGACGTGATGCTAAGAATGATTGTAGAATGAAAATGTAACACTGTGCTTAAAAGCATTGTAAACTTGACTAAACTCCAGACACAAATAGTGTAATACAACCGAAACTAAAACAACACAATTTGTCTCCCACCACTCGTAAAATCGTTTGGTGACAGGTGCTAGCACTCGAAACACGAAACGCGTGATTAAATGAACAATGCGATCGATTCAAGGCGTGATAAATAACACATTTGTAGCCGACTGATCCCTCTACATTACCATACACAGCTTTCTTATGAAAATCGTTGATGTTCTGAATACGCTCGTCAAGTTTAGGCAAATATAAACGAACTGTTTTCGATGCTTGGAGCAATTCAGTTGGACAGATTTCATAGTTACCTGTGCATTTTTTGCCATCGCCATTAAACCCAACCTTGCAGCTGCAGTTAAAAGAACCTTCGGTATTGTTGCACTCAGCGTTGACGTTACAGTTGTGGGTTTTGGTGGAACATTCGTTTACATCTGTACAAACAAATTCTTTCCGTAAATAATTAAATTTTAAAAAAGTTGATAAAATCTTTTGCAATTATGTTCTGACTGGATGACCTGCCAAAAGGAGTAAAAGCTCACTAAAAGTGCATCACGTGGAATAATGTTTGGGGACCCGTCATCTTCTATCGGAGGGGGAAGGAGAGATTGGGAGGATCACTTGGTTTTCAGGTGGAACGGATACAAAGTGTGATACATAGATCTTAATGAAAGTTTTGTTGTGTATTATCGTTGAGTATTTCTACGAGGTATGCCGTATTTTGACGAGCACGTGGAGCAAGTTAAGATACAAATAAGTACGAACCAAAACGTTGAATAAGAGATTTATTATCCAACGCGCCAAATTGTGTATTCAGTGCGGAAGAATCTCGCGAATATCTTTTTACGGGAGTGCAAAGCGGAACAGAATCAGCGCCTTGTCGTGTTGCTGTTTCTGTTCTATTCAATAGATGATGAAATTTCAATGTCGTCTAACTGCTTTTCTTCCTTTCCTTTATCTAATAAAACTGGATCAATATTCGACAGCCATTCCAACTCTTTATCGTTAGAAGGATAATTTGAATTTTTCACCATTTTTGTTTGTAACCCCAATCCAATTAGACGCCTGCGCAATGAGAGAAACCTGTCTCGAGCGTTATTTGTAGTCTAAGACGCCCAGTTGGATGATAAATGACTCGTAAGTCATAAGAACACATGTGGAAGCACACGAGACCATGGTAAAATAGATGCAAAAGAGACGCATAATTGTAGTAGCTAACATGATTATTAGAGCGCACGTGCAAAGTAACTCTTGCCTTTTTCACAGTGGTCTCCCGTGTAACCAGGTGGACACGCACACTTGTATCCCTTGTCCGTAAATCCAACTAAGCAAGTTGCATTGTTGTAGCACATGTTGAAACAACACTTGTTCTGATGGGGAGAAATATTGACCCTTAACTTTTTTATAAAATAACGGAGATGCTATTCATGCGAGCGATTTATACTTTCTATCCATAAGGGGCATGTCTGGAGTTTTTCATTTTTTGTGTAACCAATAAAAAAGCCTCGACTCTGCTCTGTTCTGTTCTGGATGACGTAAGCTGCTAGAGAACAAAAGAAGTGAAGGGGAAGAAACTTGTTTATACTCTTATAAGACATGCTGTCTCAACCATTCAGAACGCGCGTTATACAGGAACTTTATTTTTAAAATTAATTCATCTTTTTTTCATTTTTAGCAGATTCAGGTGTTCTCAGGCTTCGCTTAAAAAGGTTTTGAGATAAAATTTCCTCATCTGAGTTGCCGAAGACTCACGGAAGAGCGAGGAAACTCTATTAAACGGTACACCAGGCTTACGAAGAGCAGCAAACTCATAAGCAAAAAAAAACAAAAAACATAAAAACAAAACTCTTACCTCAGTACCCCTATACATAAAGCCCACCATCGGTTTCAGATCATATGGGTTTTGTAAGTGGTCCGAGTCACTCAATTGACACAAAACCTTATCTTTTTCTCCTGAGGGTCCCATGTTGATCGATTTACATCTGTCTTCCATAGTACACCAATTTCTGCAGTGACTATACGTATGCATTCCGACTGGTAATAAAATGTTTTTAAAGACGTAGCCCACTAATCCATATCCATCTTTCTGTTGCAAGAACTTTAGACGCCGACAGCTATCTATAAATAAGACGTTAGAGGAAAGTTTTTGTTGGGCCTCCAAAACTTCTCGTGTAGGTTGGCGAAAAAAAGAAAAAAAAAAACACAGGAATAGAATAGAATATAATTGAGAAGTGTTCAATAAAAGCAGTATTTAGAGAAAACCGTGTCGTCTTAGGGATTTGACAATTTTTATGGATATCAATTGATGGGCTAAAACTTCGATCTACTCGGATTTTGAAATCCAATTGCTCAAAAAAATTAATAGTTTATCGTATCGTCTTCCTATGGTTAGCCTTCGGTCGAAATATACTGAGCCACTTAGGGGCCAGACTACTTATTTTGTAACCCTTCTCTAATATTCTTTTCCCGTTATCACCAGGAAAATACAATCGTGAAAGCTCCGCAATATGCCGGTACAAGAGGTTATATCTCTTTTTTTTTTTGAGGAAAAAAAAATTAAGCAAACGTTTGTAATTTTCTATTTAGTTTCCGTTTACATATGCGTGTTCATTTGTTCTTTTTGTGGATTAAAAGTTTCAAAACGTAAAACGTTTTCGAGAAAAAAAGAATATGAGTTGATGTGACTCAGGAAAAAGAAGACAAAAAAAATACTTTGCAGAAGCTAAGATAAACAATCGTCTTTCTTTATAATTTAAAACTTTTATAATTGCTTTTGTTTTCACCGCAAATTATAAAAGTAGAATGTTTCGAAAACGAATCTGGGTGGTAGGGCACAGAAAAAATAGTGGAGAAGATAAAGCTTCCGAAAAGCTAAGCTGAGGGAGCTTTCTAAAAATATGTTAGTACCCCGAAGTGGTATCTTCATTTCTGTGAATATTTCACAATGTACTTTAATTAATCATTGAATGGTCAAAATTTGAATTTTTGCTAGATAGATAGTGAATAATGTATGATGTTATGCCCTAAAATGTGCTTACTTTGATGATCTCTGAAACTTTATCCCAAGTTGAAAATCAAAACAATAAATGTAAAGATAAATGTCAAGGTACATAGAAGTTTAGAAAATCATCTCTTTTTGCGCTACTTATGACCTCATACCCTATTTATTGGAACCTTTATCAACTAGATTTCAACAAAGAAAAAAATGTGTAAGAAATTATTTTCCAATTTGAATCTTTCTTTACATTTTTTTTTTTGCAAACCAAATTTAAACAGCCACAGAAAAAAGCCTGTATTTGCTGAATAAAACTATTTTTGACAAACGTAACCCTAGTCATTTTACTGACTTGAGCTAAAGTGCTGCTGACAAGCTTACTAAAAAAGAAAAGAAAAAAAAAAAACAAGCAATATTAATTCCCATTTTCTTGATATTGAACGATTTTTCCAACTTTAAAGATACCCAAGTCGAAAGATGTTAGCCCTTGGAGAGAAAGATAAGTTCACAGGAATATTAGGTACTCAGTTTTACTTAAACTGGCGGCAATTTCGCAATCTGATTGACCACTTTGCCGTTGATAAGATTACAGACAACGCTGCTCTCGTCAACGTGTCACGTAAAGTTTCGGTCAGCGAACGAATCCACAAGACGTTGGATACTGTGATGACGACTATCGTTGTCGCGGTAAGAGGAGAGACCACGTTAAACTACTGTCGATTTGTTAATTTTATTCTCATGGAAAGATTGGTTACTCATTAAGTTGTAGACGGAAACAAGATATGCTCTTAATCATTTTTAAAGCCCTCTATAACAATATGCCTCAGTATATCCAATCTTTATTTCAAGTAAGAGAAAATAAGAAAAATCTTAGGGGCAAAAACAAACTGGTTTTACCTGTAGCTAAGACCACAATTTAAGGCTTTAAATCGACTTCTTACATTGCTGGTAAGGCTTGGAATGCATTACCTGATAAGCTAAGATTAATTGCCGGATTTGGCCCTTTCAGGAATGAAATAAGAAATGTAAGTAATTTGTAATTTTATATCACTATCATTTATATCATCATTTATACTTAGGCTTATATTATTTTTAAACGCTGTAATTTATATTCATATATTTTTCTCGGTATATTAGCATCTGTATTGTTAGAGGCCTAACAAGCCTCATTTTCATTCGAGTTTAAATAAAGTCCTCATTATCATCCATCATCATTTATCGCTCATTTTGGCTTACTAAACAGAACTGCTTCTGTGGTTCTCGCACTGGGTAAATCATTAATGGCCCATTGTTTAAAACTTCTTTATTTTATTTGTTATATACAGATATTTAAGGAATAACAAATAATTATTCCACATCGACTATAAATCATTTTTTTTTCCTGCTCAGTCTCCTTTGCAGGCTAATTCAGTTCAAGAAATGTTGGAATGTTCTATTCGTAAGCTATTGCATAGATTGCACCTAAGGTTCCTCTGCTCCAAGAGAGTCCATCGAACGGAGGACGAAAAGGCAATTTTTCTATTATTTTCTTGATGTTCTGGGGGTATATAGATAGTTCAGATGACATTAACTGAGGAAGAAAGAAATATTAGAAATTTTCACCCAATTTTACCAGGGGTCTGCTTAAAACTAGTCAAAAGTCATAAATAATCGATGGCTTTTTCCATCGACGTTATTAGGAAATGTTGGGTTTTTTACTCTATGAAAAACATACGCGTCTCTGAAAAAAAGAATTAAGTGGATGAGATTCTTGCAATTCTTGTACTGGAATCGCGTGGACTTACATGAAATACAGACGTAAAATTGTTGCTACTAAAAGTGTTTTCGTAACAAGAAAGAAACTATGTTTTGGTTGAAATTTTATGTAACCTTTCTTCAACGACTTTTTTATTTTTCCCTTTTTATTTTAAATTCCGCGCATCTTATGTTCTTGACTTCCTTTCTAAATATGGTGAATTACTTTCAAATGAGTCACTGTATGCTGAGTTAGTTTAGGCAATATTTTCTTTCTGAAGGACCGTTCACGGGCCTAACTAACCCTGCAGGAGTTCTTTTGTTTCCTTGGACACGCTAAGTAGTTGATAGCATATCAACATAGTGCGTCTAAGTTTTCGCAATACCACCCAGGGGGCATAATACGGAGACAAACGTCTCTACAATATAACTGATTAAGTTTCTGTTTGCAATATATTTTTCGCTGTGGACTAAATCCCATTTTAAAATTTTCAATGTATAGTCTGTTCGAAACAGGTGCCTGAATTTTCAACAAGCAAAGATATTGCTTAGATATAGGGTATTTCTCAAATGAAGGAAACGATAACGGAGAAAGAATAATTTTCATACTCGCTTTATGATGACCTCGTTCTCTCGAAAGTTGAAGATTTAAGCGTAAATGAAGGAAGAAAGAACCGGTGGTTTTGCTCATTGATCGAAAATCATGCGTAGCTGTTGCCATGAAAAACCATGAGATTCGAGACGTTTTTCCGTATTTTCCGCATTTTTAGAGATATCTTTGTTTCTTCTTCATAAAATGATTTGAATTAATACTCTGTTATTTTGATGCATAGAGAAAGAGCTTAATTCAAACGCTCTTAAACCACCTATAGTTAATTAAAAGCTACGACGATATGAAGTGGTTCTCAAAGTTTTCATACTCATTACGTTTGTTATAGCTAACAGCTTGATTCATTTTTACGAATCTAGTGAGTTTAGAGACTTTAATAGAAATCGCAAAAGATAACTCTTGAGCAACAAAAACCTTTTAAGCAAAATTCCTACATTTGATTTTCTGTCCTCAAGTTACAAGGGTCTGAGTGTCTCCTACAATGCCATCAATTATTGCAAAAAGTATTCCTTTCCCCTCCAAAAGATAGCTTTTATTCCGTAATTATGATTGCTTGATGATGAAATTGATCTGAATAAATTCTTGTAAAAGTTTAAAACTTAGGAAACGTCGCCGAAAAGTTAGAACCAAAATGCCCAAAATGAAGTTCCCACACACACCATCGATTATGTTACAACTGGTCTAGAAAGTTTCTAAATTTTTAAGCACTTTGTGAAATCGTCACGGTAGTTTCCTTCTTCCTTACTTTTAATTAGCTACTCTTGTTGACAAAATACTAAATTTCTTTGCACCGAAGCTTTTCCGAGATGGTCATGTTAGTTTTTACTTCAGAGTCCTCTCGAGGTGGTAAATTAGGATTTCCAAACCCTCGAAAAGTGCTTAATTTTTGGCCCCTATTCCTCGGGCCCTTGCTTTCCTGTAACTACAGATTTGCATCAGATTTACATCCAGGTTTGCATTACTTCAGGAGTTCCCATAGTCAACATATCATTCAACCCACACAAACGAATTTCAAAGTTAACTTACCATGGTTTGCAACTGTTAAGGTGTAGAACCAGCCTCCAAACAAAAAAAGGAGAAATATGAAAGAGGGCATCGGGCAGCGACGGCGGGCCATCTTCAGAGTCTTGTCAAAAAAGAAAGCGTTTTTAACCAAACATCAGAGTGTTTCGCTTTACAAAAATCTTTTCAGTAAAGTGAAATAAATACAGCAACCATCAGTTTCCCATCTATGGCATTGCTAGGTTCTTGCAGAGCCAAAACGTCTAAGTTTCATTCCTACCGTCATTTATTATTAATTTAAATTGGGCGGGATAATAAGTTTCTTAACTGTTCCTGTTTACTACTTTCTTCAAACGTCATTTCTGCATGAAAAATGCCCATTACAAGCCTCTTGTTTTGTGGAATTTTGTAAGAGAAATTTCTCTGAAACATTAATCGAAACGAAATGAAAAAACCACGAAAAAAGAGGAGAAGAGAAATCTAGAGATACTAATTGTTATGATGATTAATTGTACTATCACTCATTAACTTCCCCTGGGGAAGTAAAGTAAGCCTTTTGTACTCTATGTCAAAACAATTCCATAATTTTACAAACTCCTTAAAGAAAAACACATTAAATGACTACCGGGTTTTTTTTTCCCATTCATTTGGC